AAAAAAAAAAAAAAAAAAAAAAAAAAAAAAAAAAAAAAAAAGGAGTGACTTATACTGATTAGGTTTACCTTGTTAGAACTCTGAAAGACAAACTGACAAGGAATGGTAGATTCACTGTGCTTACTCTTTACTGACCCTGGCTGCTGTTATTGTTGTTTTGGCTAACTCTAGACAGAGTACTAGATTTCAACCACCAACTTGTCTGAGACCATGCAGAAAAAAGACCCATATGTTTTGAGCATCCACAATGGACCCAGTGTTACATGGAAAGCTTCATATATCATTCATATATATTTATTTTATAATGATAGCAGTGTATTAAAAACAAAACAAAACAAATAAATAAGACTCCAGCTGTGAAAATGAATAAAGAGAAACCAAAAAAATAGATTCAGGATGCTAGACAGGAAGGCTACTAGGGGGAGCCATACCATCCAATGCTAATCACAAGAAGAATTGTCAATTACAGACCCAACAGAAGATTCCTTAACAGGAAAGAATGATCAAGGCCACCCAGGGAAAGTACATTGCATCTTCTACAAGAATTTACCCCTGCAACTTAGCCAATGAGAAACCTTCACCACCCTGAACTCTTGCTTTTCTCCAAAGGACTTTCCCTCAAAGCAACTCCTCACAACTTCCTCCTTCTCTATAAAATAATGTTCCTCTCTTTTTTGTTGTTGTTGTTGGACTGACTTATGATTTTGCTGTGACTTGCTAGCCATGGATTGTAATTTTCTGCTTTTCTCAAATAAACCTATCTTTTGCTAGTAAAATAACTGGCAGTTTTATTTTTTTTAACATTTGTTCATTTTTGAGAGATTGTGAATGACGGAGGGGCAGAGAGAGAGAAAGACAGAATCTGAAGCAGACTCTAGGCTCTGAGCTGTCAGCAACAGAGCCCAACGCGGGGCTCGAATTCGTGGACTGCAAGATCATGACTTGAGCTGAAGTCAGATGCCTAACCCACTGAGCCACTCAGGCGTCCCAGTGGCAGTTTTATTTTTAAGGTTGACATCATACATTCTTAAGTCTAGTTAACTTGTGTTCAGATTCTGACTTTTCTCCTTACTGTGTCACCTTGATTAAGCTATTCAGCCTGGTGAGACTCAGATTTTTTACCAGTAAAGTAATAATAACCACCATTTTTTTTTTCAAAATTCTGTGTGAATTAAAAATAGTATCTGTAGGGGCACCTGGGTGGTTCAGTTGGTTAAGTGTCAACACTTGATTTCAGCTCAGGTCATGATCTCACAGTTTATGGATTTAAACCCTTTGTCTGGTTCTGTGTTGACAGTGGAGCCTGCTTTGGATTCTCTCTCCCTCTCTCTCTCTGCCCCTACCCCATGCTTGCTCATGCTTTCTCTCTCCCCCTCTAAAAACAAATAAATAAACTTGAAAAAAATAGTACCTGTAAACCATAGCACACAATGGGTTTCCTTCAGCAGTGGCTATTGGTACCATTACTGACTGACACATGGAATATAGATGCCATATGTCACATTTCTGCTTTCTGTACTCTTTTTGTGAAAGCAAGGGATTAGTTTCTCAAAGTCTGTTTCCTCATGTTTAAAAAGGATTAACGGTAGTGTATACTTCTCAGGATTGATGCAAAATGCATTTGGCAGAGTGAGTCCTGGAAAATAATTAGTACTCAGTAAATAATTGCTACTTTCCTCTACATTTTCTATTATGTGCAATAGTGTTATATTTAGAACAATCTCTTTCAGTTGACCCATATCATTCTTTGAATAATTTGTGTTCAATTCAATGCTCGAAATAGGCCAAAAGTTAGAAGGCATTCCATGATATCAGAGGTTGTGCTGGGAGTTTCAAACACCCTTTCCTACCCTGCTGACATTTCATGTGCAACAGGACAAATATTGCACATGTTTTTGTCTACAGAAAAACAGCAAACTTACATTTGCCTCTGATTTCTTCCAGGCAGGACTCCGTAGATCTTGTTTGCCATACACAGAACCAGGTATCAGAGGATAACATGAAAGCTAGGTGTATGACAAAATGAGATCTAGATTGCATTTCAAAAGTGGCTCTGAGATGGAAGGACTTTTTAAAGAACAGGTGTTTGGAGCTCCCCCCACCTCCCACCTTCTATATTTCTACTATGAACTTTTCCTCTGAGATTAAAAAGCAACAGGCTTGCAAGAGGCTTTTCTTTCCATTTTCTGTGCTATTTTTGTGCTATTTTTCTAGTATTCAGCCCTGCAGTTTTTTTCTCCCAGTCTTCACGCTTTTTTTGACTGAACGTTATTATCACTCTTCTGTGTTTGGAACTGGTCCCTAGGAAGCTCAGATTCTCGCATTTTCATTTCTAATCTAGGCTATGTGTTCTCACCTTTTGACTGTCTGCTTCTGACTTAACTTTTCACTTACATCCACTTGGACAATTGGCTTTTATTTTTTTAATCAGCAGACTTATTTCATTAGGCAGTTTTAGGTTCATAGAAAAACTGAGCAGATACTGCACAGAGTTACCATTTATCCCCTCTTCCAGAATGCAGTTCCCCTACTATTATTTTTAACAGATTTATTGAGGTATAATTGATATACCAAAAGATGCATATATTTAATGTATACAATTTAATGAGTTTGGACATATGCATATGCATGGAACCATCATCACAATCAAGGTAATAAACATATCCATCACCTCCAAAAAGTATCTTTGTGCCCCTTTGTGTTTGCTTATGTGTGTGGGGAGTTGTAAGAGCACTTGACGTGAGATTACCTTCATAACCAATTTGTAAGTGTGCAGCACAGGATTGTCAACTACAGGCACATTGTACAGCAGATCTGTAGAACTTACTCATCTTGGCATAACTAGTTCCTTTATTGAATACATTTTATTTTAAAACATTGCCTTCCACTGCTCTGTCAGTGATAAAAGCTTAAATACTTGGGCTCCATTCCCATAAGGTACATTTCACATCTTGGTTTCCTTGAGATTCTTCCTACAAGGACTATTTAAGAATGAAATAATGCTTTCTGAGTGACAAATGCTAGAAGAGTAGAGATCATATATGGGATGCTTCTGACTGAGACATTTTGTTTAATCTTTCCTTACGAGCTTTGCCTTTCGTGTCATCTCACATTTACAAGTTTATATTTGTTAAGAGAAGAATGACATCAAAGCAAAGCCTGAGGCAAAAGTTAGGCATTACTACCTAGATAGTAGAATTCCAGGGATGTATGAGTGAGCACAAAAGCAGCAAGACAGGGAAGGAGAGACAACCAGCCACCTGGTCCATGCAGCCTTGTGGGTTCATCTCCTGAAAGGCAATGTGATTGCCTACCTCTCAGGGCAGCTGAAACAGGGAAAGTAAAGAAGAAGAATATAGTGACTGATCTTCACCTCCTACTGGTTGGAAGATCATCCTTATAGTATTTTGGTATTCCTGCATTTCCAGTTGCACAGACGTGGGTACAAAGCATATCCTATGGAATCTTATGCCTCAATACCAATAAGCAAACCTATGGTGGGTGATGAAAAGTGACGAGTAAGGCAGGAGGCAAGGTACTATTGGGTTATGCCTACATGGAGCTGGCTGCCTCATTGTTCCAGTGAAGCTGGAATAATGCAGAAGGAAGCTAGAGGCAGAGGGACTGAGAGGATCTAAAGTAGCAGAGTAGGGTAGGTGGTGATATTTGGGCTGTTGATGATGGAGACTATAAATCACAGAAAGGAATAGTGTTTTCACAACAACAGTATGGCTGAAGCACAGCCATATTGATATTCCATATTTTGACAGCCACAATAAAACTACATAACTAAGTATGCAGTCTACCTAATAAAGAGTGCTTTGATTCAATAGAAATTTAATGAAGTTTTGGTTCAAGATGGAGATGTAGGAGGCTCCTGCACTCATTTCTTCCCTCTGGCCATTGAAACTACAACTACATACAGAAGAATACCCTCTGAAAGAAATCTAGAAACTAGCTGAGTGACCCCTACACATCTGGTGAACAAGAAAAAAAAAACACATCGAACTGGATAGGAGAGGTAGACACAATCTCACCACAGCCCCACCCTGGGGATTTTCCCTATGATAGGAAGGGAAATCTCAACTCCCAGCTTCTCCCCAAATAGCAAAGGATTTAGACCCCAAATCCAGGACCCCAACTTTTAAGACAGCGACTGAACCTGAAGGACAAAACCCCAAAACATCTGGGTCTGAAAGCCAATGGAGCTTGTGTCCATGAGACCCATTGACTACAACATAGAAATAGTGCTTATGGGTTATTGAGGACTCACTGTTCTGATTTTTTTTTAATTAGTGATGGCATTTTAATTTTAATTTAATTTTATTTTAAATTTACATCCAAATTAGTAGGCATATAGTGCAAAAATGATTTCAGGAGTAGATTCCTTAATGCTCTTTACCCATTTAGTCCATCCCTCCTCCAACAACCCCTCCAGTAATGCTCAGTTTGTTCTCCATATTTATGAGTCTCTTCTGTTTTGTCCCTCTCCCTGTTTTTATATTATTTTTATTTCCCTTCCCTTATGTTCATCTGTTTTGTCTCTTAAAGTCTGCATATGAGTGAAATCATATGATTTTTGTCTTTCTATGACTGACTTATTTCACTTAGCATAATACCCTCCAGCTCCATCCACGTAGTTGGCAAGATTTCATTCTTTATGACTGCTGAGTAATACTCCGTTGTATGTATGTGTGTGTATATATATATATATATATATACATATATATATATATATATATATATATATACACCACATTTTCTTTATCCATTCATCCATCGATGGACGTTTGGGCTCTTTCCATACTTTGGCTATTATTGGTAGTGCTGCTATAAACATGGGGGT